CCTTTATTCCACCCCCAAAAATCATCCCTTTCTCCCTCGCCAGGGTTTTCGGCTGCTCCTGGCCAGTCCCAGCGCCTGCTACCAGCTCCTCAAGGAGAAGCAAGAGGAAGGGTTCGGCGAGGCAGCGATGTTTGAGGGTAAGGGTCGGGGGGAGATGAAAAATGGGGCTCAGTGGGTTGTTTTTCCCTTTTTCCTGCAAAATGCAATGGGGCGGGCGAATGCACGGCGCCCCGAATCCCAGCTAATGGCTGGAAAGCGCTGCCGGCAGCAAGGACGGGGGGCGGAAAGGAGCACCGTTAATTAAAAAGCTGCATAGATTTGGTTTCCCGGGTTAGGATGGCGCTCGCTGCCGGTGACCCCCGGAATGGGGGAGCTCCCGGCTCAGGCCAGGCAGTCTTGTCCCAAACATGGTGGGGAAAGAATTCCTGTCCGTTTATTCGTGCTGCAGGACTGGAGAAGGTGCCCAAACCGACGATAAATGAGATTCTGGCTAACGAAGGCCTCCGGAAATTCAATAATTATGTCCAGGTGAGGAAGGGGAGCGGGAAGCTCCTTTCCAGCCCACCCTGTTCCTCTGTCCATCCCTCCATCTATCCACGCATGGCTCCCTCTGTCTGTCCACCCACCCCTCTCTCCATCTCTCCATCCATCTCTTTGTCCCTCTGTCCATCCATCCATCCATGCCTTCATCTGCCCACCCACCCCTCCCTCCGTCTACCTATTCCTCTGTCCATCCCTTTGTTCATCCACCCATCCCTCTGTCTACCCATCCTTCTGTCCATCCCTCCATCCCTCCCTCTGTCCCTCCAACCACCCCTCCATCCCTCCACCCATTCCTCCCTCTGTCCACTCATCCCTCTGTCCATCTGTCCACCCATCCCTCCACCCATTACTCCATCCATCCACACATGCCTCCCTCCCTCCATCTACCTATTCCTCTGTCCATTCCTGTCCCTCCATCCACCCGTCCCTCTGTATCTTCATTCACCTGTCCCTCCATTCCTTTATCCTTCTGTCCATCCACCCATCCCTCCCTCCATCTGTCCACCCCTCCATCCATCTCTCTGTCCCTCACTCTGTCCACCCATACCTCCATCCCTCCATCTGTCCACCCATCCCTGTCTACCCATCCTTCTACCCACCCATCCCTCTGTCCCTCCACCCATCCCTCCCTCTGTCCCTCCCTCCCTCCAACCGCCCATCCATCCCTCCATCCCTCCCTCCCATTCCTCTGTCAACCCATCCCTCTGTCCATCCCTCCACCCA